TCAGGAGTATGTGGTTAATTATTTATGTTTCTTAGCCTAGAACCAATATACTGAACTATACATATTTCAAACCTTTAAGCGTTGTTAAAATTCTTCTTCTTAGGTCTGAAAGACATACCTCGATGTACATTTTGTTTCAGTCAGGCTATCTGGAATGTTAAAATAATTTATTTTTCTACTTTCTTGCCACCCCATTTTTTGTCTACATTGGGACTTAATTAGCAAAAACTGCTTAACTTTTTTACAATAACTGTGGCACTTTCTTACTCTTTCCAATTGCTTTGACCATCGTTCTATTAGAAGCTGTGACAATGGGAAACCTAACTTTGCTCACTCAAACCAGGAATTCATCTTGGATTCCAATCCACATAAACTCAGTCCAGCAAATTACTAAGAAAATGGCAATGTGTTCATTCAAAGATGCATGTTCTACTAATTACATTAACACTAACTGCCCACTGATTCCATTTCTCATTCTGCTCTGCAGAACTATTTTTTCAGCACAGATGTAAGCCATAAATCAGTCAGAACAACTATTTTAAAAATATAATAATGTACTTTAATCTGATATTACATCAAATTGTCAATGCTGTATCCTTCAGACTGCCATCTTGTAATGTTTTATAACAGCTATAAAATTAATTGTAAATATGCAGTGCCAATTTTCTCTTCTCAGAGAGGCACTACAGGCTTAGCAGAAATAATAATTACTGGCTGCATAAGAGACTGATTGAATTCATGTACTGTATCAGGATAAATCATGTGTGGTTTCTTGAAATAGTGTTGTGATATGTCAGCTTGCCTCTGCTAACAGGTTGCGTTTTGTTAACCAGACACAAATCAAGATCTGAACCCATAGTTTGGTGTTGGCATATATGGACTCTGGCTTGTTTAAATCACAACTTATTGTGATGTTTGAATGCACAGCTAGACCTGGATTGTTTCAGCTGCCCTCTCTGAAGTAACAGCTAATGAAAGTGGTCAGACTGAAATGGGGGGGGGAAACACAGTTAATTTGGTTGTTTGCTGAGCAATTTATGAGTTAAGCAACAAACCATGAAAACATGGGTTACACACAAAAGTGTCTACTGTATTCTTGTTGCTTGTAAATCAGTAGATGTAAATAGAGAAAACTAGATACACAGACAATGAGGCTTAAAGGCTACAGATAATATATTCACTGTGACATTAATTATATATTTGTTTGACACCAGCACATTGCAATTAATGTTGATTATTTAGTATTCACAATAAAGTGTATGCCTGCAAGGAATTTTATGATTTGTGAGATTAGAATCCCACATAATCGAAGATACAAATTCTCTGAACCCTTGCCTCTGAACACAATTTTGAAGGGTAACTGAAGTCTAAGATTGTCCTAGTAAATAATACTGTCTTAAGGGGACAGATTGGACTTCTACTCCTCCCTCCCGGTGCAACTGCAAAGAGACTCTGAGCTTTTGCCTCTATTTCAGAACAACCACAGTTTATTGTTATGCTGATATCCTAAAATGTGGCAAACCTCAACAGCTGTTTGTTGAAACAAGCCAGTTTGTAATCATGGTTTGAATTTAACTTTCTTCTCCAAACTGCAATTAAGATTAGCAGTACTGCATTGACTTTGGATAACACATCACATCACAATTAATCTAGAAAAAGGGGAAGGTGCTGAACTTCTCCTTGCAGTGTAGTGGGGGCACAGAAGCACAACATCTCAAAATGTATTTAGTATCATTCTTGTAACATTAAATGATAATACTGTTATTATTGTCAAGCACTCTGAAGTGCAAGACCTGCTTTAAAAGTGATTTCTTCAAAGTTAAGTCCTATTTCACTTTTTATTTTAAATTGTTCATAAATATGTGGAAAGGTATGATCAAGTTTATTTAGACTTCCCAAAAGTGTTTTGCAAAGTTTGTCATCAAAGGGTCTAATCATACCTGCCAAAAGAACCCCAGTAATACCAATTCTTCCCATATCTCCGCTGTACCAATACATTTATTTTCACGGCCACATAGTATATGTCCCGGAGAAAGCATTCACATTATTTTTAACAGTGTCAACTCATTTCTTTCTACTTGAACTGTTATAGCAAGCTAACTGCTCTTTAGTTTTGTATTCATTCATTTTCTTTAGTGTTTCTTGGGACAATGAGGCACACCCCCTTGTTGTTGTTTTTTTAAAATTACCAAAGCTGGTATACTGATACAGAAATACAATGGTATGTGGCTTCTTTCCTCCTCCCTGCTTTCTTTCCCTCCTCCCTGCATCTCTCTAGCTCTCTCAGTTATTGGCAAGGCTTCTCTTCTCCTCCCCCTTCTCCTTCCCTCCTCCCTGCATATCTTTTCCCTTTTGCATCAGGAGGAGGAAGTGGATTTTGAGACTTGCAAAGAAAAGACAAGAGCAAGGTTAAATAAATGTAACACTCATTTCTTTATAATTCAAAGCAGGAAATCTGAAGCCTTTCTGAGCAATGTATTGATCTTTTGTGTGTGTGTGTGTGTGTGTGTGTGTGTGTGTGTGTGTGTGTTGGCAGCAGCACCAGCACCAGCACCACACCAGTGGACTCCAACATCAATTTGTTGATATACCTTCTAAAAATAACCACAAAAAGGGGTACAAGCGCAGTAGCCATGAAGTGGCTACAGTACCCTGAAACTCAATCCCTTTCCAAAGGAAATAAATTGACAGCAATGTTCACACAGGCTGAAACAACAAGGTATGAAGCAATTCATCAATGATACAAAATACGAGTAGACATGGTCTAGAGGGGGAAAAATCTGGCCACAGCGCCCCAAAACCCAACCCCTTTCCAAAGGAAATAAATTGACAGCAATGTTCACATAGGCTGAAACAATAAGGAATGAATCAATTCATCAATGATACAAAATAAAACAATCCTCCCAGTGAGGGAGAAATAAACTGCTGTCTGGGAAAATGAGTCTTGGCCGTGTGTCATGTGCTCATAAATTTATGAAATGAACTAAAAAACGGCTATACAGTATCGGTACAACTGGGATCCTTTTGCCAGGTGTGATCAGGCTCAAAGACTCCTGAACAATATCTACAGTTTATTCCATTTCTCTGCTTCTTGCTCATTAATTAAACTCCACATTTGGTTGTTACCTGTAAACTCTTTAAAGTTTGAATTCTTTAAATTCTTGCAACAGAAGGATGTGAGCAGTAGGGCCCCTCAGAGACCTACACTGGTACCAATGCTTTTTTAACTTGTTTGTGAACAGTTTCAAATTCAAGTTATGAGTTAGTAGTGATGTGAGCAAGTTTGCCAACCAATTTTTTTAAGGCTCGTTAAAATAAAATAAAAATTATGAAAAATTTCAAAATAATCTCTCCAAACTACAGAATAGGCCAGAAAATGGCCAATGAGATTCAGATAACCAAGTGGAAAGTGAGATATATCAAGACTTCACATAAGCAGGGCTTAAGATGACAGTAATTGCCCAAGAAATTATCTCAGGGTTGTGGGGGGGGGAATAGTGTGACAAAAATGTTGACCTGATGAGAAGCTGGTATGAAAAGGCAAATTCATTGTGGGCCATAATTTAAAAAGCAATTAAGAACTGAACTAGCAATATCATACTTCCCTTTAAAATATATATGGTGCACTCATACTCAAAATACAGTATACAGTTTTGTTCACTGCATTTAAAATGGATATTGTAGAACTAGCTAAGGTGCAGAAAAAGGCAACCAAAATCAAACAACCTTCGCTCTATAATATAGAGTAATTCCTTTCAGAAGAAATATTAATATCTGGGCTGTTCAACATGATAAAAACAAAAGGTTGAGTCATATTACAGATGGCAAGGGTGTATTAAATTATACATGGTCTGGAGAAGGTGGATAAAGAGAAGCTTTTCTTTTTCCCACACAGTATTAGACCTTGAGGTCATATCCAAAGTTGAAAGATGAGAGAATTAAAGGAAGCACTTCTTTACATAGTGCATGGAAAAGCAGTGGAATTTGATACCTCAAGTAGTGAAGGCTACTTACTTGGATATATTTTAAAATAGATTATATGAACTAATGGAAAGTTGGATTATTAGTGGCTCCTGGTTATGGCAGAGATGCTCACAGAGAGAGAATCCTGGAGATGGTTTGTCTGCATACATTAGTTGTAGGGAAACATAAAACTGGGAGTGGGGGGGAATGGACCTGTTGCTCTTATGTTTTCTTATCAGATTTCCATAGATAAGTAATCACTGTGTGAACAGAATGCTGGACTAGATAGCCTTTGGCCTAATTCAGAAAGCCTTTTCTTATGTTCTGATGCTGATCTTTGTGTTTTTAAAAAATAAAGCCTTCTTTTTAAACTCTAATCAATTTTGTTCCTTGAAGATAATTTTGTAAAGACTTATTATGTCCACTGCTGCTGCTGCTGCTGCTGCTGCTGTTATTATTATTATTATTTCTTATGAGATCAATGACAAAAGATAAACAATTTGCTGCCCTGAACACTAACTACCATTATTCATTCTTATGCATTTACCCACAAATGAATTAAAACTGGAAGATCATCCAAGACTGGTACTTGCCACGTGTACCTCTGAAGGTAAGGCAGGCCTAAGCACCTAATGAAATCATCAGGCAATGTCTTATACTGCGTGAATTGTTCAGAAGAGAGATGTGATAAAAATGGTAACAAATTATGAGCACACAAAGAAACAGACTCATGTATTTGAAATTGTCGTTCTACCTTTGAGGGTTATTTTGGTGTCCAAAAGGAAGCACATAATTTGAAACTCAATGAAATACTGAAAGTTATTTTTTAAAGCTCTTTACCCAGTACATTTTACAAATCAACTGAAAGTGGAGATGGGGGGGGGAACCCTCCAACCAACACATAAGAGAGGCTATATCTTTCTAGCAGTTAATGTTAACAAAGCTAGAATAAAAAAGAGCTTCTCTAGGAATAATGAGAAAAGTGTATCTGAATGGTTGGGAAGCACAAGGTTTTCTCTCTCTTCATTTTAACTTACCCTTGGAAATGTGGTAAATCTGTCTAGTTCTTCCACGAAGCAGAACATCTGCAGACTGATTGCTGACATCACAATTAATAAGCTGGCAGTAAACACAACTAAACTCCCAAGCTTTTTTCCAGGTCCAAAAATCTTATACACAAAGTCTTCCAGGGCAGGAGAAATCTTTATAAGTCGAACTACCCTAAGGACCTACAAAGAGAAAGGAAATTTATTATTGATCTTGCTGTAGGATGCCATATGAGACTAACACATAATGTTTTATTTCAAGTAACCTCTGGTGTTAAACAGTACATGCTGAATAGGAAAGTTATAAACACTCTGGTTCATTGACCTTCTTGATGTTTCCCATCAGTGTTTTCAGTACATTACGATTATACTATATGTGTAAGAGAAAGCATCAGAGGAGCTCAAAAAAAAAGAATGATATTGAAAATTGGGACAACGTGGTCAAATAAAGATAAAAAGGCTACAACTTTGATGTTGAAAAAGAAAAGCTCCTAAGAACTATATCAACACTTAAGAACTGTATCAACTTAATTTACAATTCCAAATAGCTTCATATTTACAGCTTATTTTCCTAACTCTCCCACCTCTGCAAAAACATTGATATGACTAAATTAATATGTCAATATACCTGAACACACACTGGGTGTTCTTTCTGTTATATAAATATAACTATATATAACAATATATATAACTATATATAACATATTTTCCTGTTTTCTTCTCCTAAAAAATTGGTGCGTCTTATGGAAAGGTGTGTCTTATGGAAAATACGGTATATATTGTTATACAGTATATAACAATTGTTATATATATTGTCAGCATATCAACTTTGAATATACTTGTTTACATTCAGGTTTTAGTTGCTAACAATGTGACGCTGGCATGACTTCACCAAAATCTGCCTCTCTCTAATGATGTCTTAGGTTAAACATTTTGACAACATTTCAGATATTCAGTGTGTAAGCTCTGGATCAGGGATAAGCAACTCTGACACTCCAGATGATATCACACTGCAGTTTCCAGCATCCCTCATAATCAGCTTTGCTGGCTAGGGCCAATGTGAATTGTGGCCCAGCACCTACAGGGCCACAACTGCTCATCCCTGTTTTAGAGTGTCATTGCTTGTTTAATTATGGCACACACCATAGTGACACTAAATCATTGTACGTTGCATCTCTCAGTTCTTGGACTTTATAAATATGGATTGCAGGTGGGTTCCTACCCATAGTATTAATTCATTCATCCCTTACAACAGCCTCTAGGAAAATGCCCAATTCCTATTTGTCTCAGGAAGCAAGAAAAGCTTTATGAGGGCAGTAGTGAAGAATATTAAATGATACCATGGCACAGCAATGCTAACACTTCTCTATTTACAATGGTCCAATCCTAACTGAATGTCCCCCCACACTTGGCAACAATCTAGTTGTCTTATGAATAACACAACTTTCAATATGCATATGGATACATATAGTTTGACTATCAGGCACTTTTTGTGCGTGCCGTGGCTCTAGGTCAAGGAACGAAAATCACAGTAGATCTGTACTATATAGCATAATATATCTTGCACGCCCGCAGCGCCACCACGTCCCTACAGCAGTGCTAACCCTTCTCTATTTACAATGGTCCAATCCTAACTGAATGTCCCCCCACACTTGGCAACAATCTAGTTGTCTTATGAATAACACAACTTTCAATATGCATATGGATACATATAGTTTGACTATCAGGCACTTTTTGTGCGTGCCGTGGCTCTAGGTCAAGGAACGAAAATCACAGTAGATCTGTACTATATAGCATAATATATCTTGTACATCTAAAAAAACACACACAAAAAACCCAAGTATCTCACAAACCTCGTGATCACTGAGAGATTATTTCAGGTAGCATTGTTTCATAAGTATACAACACACACACCCACACACACACACACACCCAAGTATCTCACAAACCTCGTGACCACTGAGAGATTATTTCAGGTAGCGTTGTTTCATAAGTATACAGAATTTAGATTCTAGGATAAACACCACAGTAATTTTACACAATTTTTGCAATAGGATACATGGAATTTAGAGTGAAACAGCTTTTAAAATAACAACTCTTCCTTAAATGTTCTTAAAGAAAGTTTATTCCTGTTTCACAGTTTGGCTGGGTTTCCATTTAAACTGTGGGCACCCCTCCTAAATTACAGTAATTGGCATTTAAATAGCACATTAATCTTTCCAGGGCCTATTTTGCTAGTCTATTTATTTTCATTAAGAGAGAAAAGGGCAGGGCAATCTTTAAAACACAGTGTTTCACCAATCCCTGCATTTATTCATATTAGCATGGCTTATGTAGTTTGGGATTCACAAAAAGTCCACTGAATTGCATGGAGTTCAAAGAAGCTTGAGCATTTTCAGATCTTTGAGGACTGCCCTACACGGGCAATTCCTTTCTTATTCTTGTTGCACTGCCACTAGGACTTCAGTATTTAAACTTTTCAGAAAATATATATTGTTCAAAGCACTGACGTGTATATAAATGGCTCCTTTACTATAGGAGATGATTCAGTGATGTTTGCAGCAACAATTATTATTGTATTGTTATTTATCATATTTTTATCCTGCCTGTCCTCTAAGAATCTCAGGACAGCACACAGGGACCCTATTTTATTCTCCTAACAACTGTGTTAAGTAGGATGGGTGAGGGAGGGAGGAATAGAGGAAGGTAGAGAGAGAGAGACTGGAAATCATCTAGTGAGCTTCATGACTGTTCAGCAATCCATTCATTGCATTACACAACCTCTTATACTTCAAATTGTACGTCCACCAATACATGAAAGAGTATTCAATGTAGGTAATTAAAATGTATGAGTTGAAAAGAACGATGGTTTATCCAATAGTGGCTAATGCAGGAAAGAATCTTCTTGGAAATAAATGTGTGATTGTGTAGGTGACATGTAGGTTATGTTTCCATAATCTTATGGATCTTATAGCAAATCTACAAAAGTAAAACTTTTTTTTCATTCCTGACCACAAGGAACAGCTATGCAGATTATACCTGGCAAAAAAGACATGGTCCACAAACTCTTCAAATGGCTAGATCCAAAAGCAACATACTCTAGTGCCATTTATTTATTTAAATCATTTATAGGTAAAGGTTAAAGGTTCCCCTTGACATTTAGTCCAGTCATGTCTGACTCTAGGGCACGGTGCTCATCTCCATTTCCAGGCCATAGAGCCAGCGTTTGTCCAAAGACAGTTTCCGTGGTCACGTGGCCAGTGCGACTAGCCACGGAATGCCATTACCTTCCCACCGAGGTGGTACCTATTTATCTACTCGCATTTTTACATGCTTTCGAACTGCTAGGTTGGCAGGAGCTGGGACAAGCGACGAGAGCTCACTCCATCGCGTGGATTCAATCTTACGACTGCTGGTGTTCTGACCTTATAGCACGGAGGCTTCTGCGGTTTAACCCGCAGCCCCACCACGTCCGAAAACATTAATAGCCTGCGCTATATCACAGGGTCTCAGGTCAAATTACAAAGATGTATAAAACACTTTAAAACAATTTTTAAAAACAAACAATTTAAAACACAACACTAAAACCTGTGCAGGCCATGATTCCCCCCCCCCAAAAAAAACCCCTCTAATAAATATTTCTTGACACCAATGTAATCACCAATCGTGCTCCAAGAGGAGGGCATTCTACAGTTCGGGTGCTCTTCCTTGTGTCCCCATACTGAACTGCTCTCAATGGTGGGAAACAGAGGAGGGCAACCTCAGCAGATCTTAATGATCAGGAAGGTTTATATAGGGAGAAGCACTCCTTCAAATATATCCATGTTATGACCCCTGTTCCTTCAGTGTTGGGATGGATTAGTTACAGCAATCCTGGTTTTCAGCCTAATAGCATATTCATTCATTCATCATCCTTCCCATAACTGTGATTTTCCTGAACCTACCAACAGTAGGGTGGGACAGGAGAAGGAGGCTCAGCAGGGCCCGTGTGGTAGTAGTGAACTGCTAGATCTCAAACTAAGGAGAAAACCCATGCTCAGCTGTGAACAATTCAATGGGAGGAATGAGAATATACTTAACACTTCTATTGAATCAATGAGGTATAAAAGTATTGTTCAGTGCAATCCAGGGCATGTTGACTCCGAAGTAAATTTCACTTTATTATCAATGCTTATTCCAAGGTAGCTTTACATAGGATTGTGGTTATGTTCGACTACATTGTGCTGCTTTCAAACACTTTCTTAAAAAGAGCAATGTCAATTTAGAATGTTGGCTTTCTTTCTTTACAGAAAAGCATACAAATTGTGTTAGAGAAATATATATGTTTCCCAGTGCTTCAAGGCAGCCACAGTGGTTAGGAAGAGTGATTGATATATTGAAGAGGGGGAAAGGAAGGCTAATAAATATTGCAGACTCTAATACACAGTGGGGAAGCCCACAAAAATGAAAAACAGGTCTGGCGGATAAATTAGGGTGTGTTTAACTTGGGAATTCCTTTCCTATCTACCTCTTTGCTGCTTGGCTGGAGATACAGTAGACCTGTCATTATAAATATTAGAATGTTGGAAGATTTACCTAACCACCAGAAGTACTGAGGTGAACATAATGTTTTGACCCATGCTGATTTAGAGCTATGTTACATTACTCCCTAGGAATTTGATTGCTTGTGGAGATGGTGGATTTCCAACTTGCAGGCTGACACAAATAGTAATGTATTTTTTCAGCCTCCCCTGTCATTTGCTAGTAGGGGACTTAGACTGCAGAAGATGACCTAAATCTTTCAGTATGGCAAGATGCTTTTGCTTGTGAAAGGTGCATACACTAAATGTAATGAAGATGGGGACTATAAAAACAAATTTCATATGTAAGCATTTTAAATATGTGTATATTGTGTGCTACACCCTATGCTATCCTATGCTATGCTGATGTATTTAATCAGTTCTCCTGAGGTAGTTGATGAATGTGTGCTGTTGAACTCAGTAAAATCAGGCTTATGGGGGTTTTCTTTAGCCTTAGGTATGAAACAATGGGAAGCATGCTGAACAACTGGCAACATGTCTGAATCCCCTGAGGTGAAATCTGGTACCACAATTTGATTCCAAAACAAGCAAGGACTCCATTTTGGAATAAATGTTTAAAAAGAGAGCTAGGTCTCTATATCAGCCAAGAAGATTTGGGGGATTTTTCTCTGTATGCTCTTGTGTAATGCACAGTCTGCTGAAGAGCTCCACAGGACTCAAAAATCTAGCATGCTTGTGCAATTTTAGTAGTCTAAAAAAGGTATATAGTTCACATCATTTTTGGATTTTGCACTGATGTTTTCTTAGTCATCAGTATATCTTGACACCTAAATATCCAGAAAAGCAACAGATTAATCAGAAATTCTCTGATGAATTTATTATCTATATTACAAAATCGCAAAATAAATGTCATTTTAAGGGCCCTAAAAAGGAGAAGACAGACATGTTAATGTATGGGTTAACTTAAAAGTTAATTAAAAAACACTAGTGATTTGATTTGATTTGTATCCCGCCCATCAGATCTAATAGACAACTCTAAGCGGATAAAAAGTTAATTAAAAAACACTACCAATCCTAATTCAAATGTATGATGGGAAAGGCATCATAACATTCTTCCTTTTAAATCAAATATATAATGGTATAATATTTCTTATTACAGTATACAACATACAAGTCAACTTAACTTCAGAATAACATAAAAGCAGTGAAGATCCATGAGCACTGTGAAGATCACATTTAAGAATATAAGATGATATTATTTCTAGTGACACTCAGCCATCTTCTGTCATCCATTATTTTTATGTGTAAGAGAAACCCGTAGTTACTGCTTTACTTTGAAAGGCAAGCCACCAAACATTGGATGTGAACTGAAAGGATGAGCCACTTCTATGACTTCTTTTCATGAAAGCGGCACAAGGAGAAGGCCGTTCACACGTGTCTCTGCAGTACATAGGACAGCAGGGCCCTTTAGGAGTTCTGTCTTGATGGATTTCCAGCTGCATCAATTTACTACAGAGCACAGCAGATTTCAATCTGCAATTAACAGGTAGTCTGCTGCTTTGCATTTTAATAAATAAGAGAAAGAGAGTAGTGCCTTAAAATATCTTTCAGCACCGAGAATTCTAAATTATTCAGAAGTGCATACTTTATAATTCAGTTCTTCAAATATCCTCCAGTTTATGAAAGTGGGATATTGTGCTTCTGTACACGAAATTCAAAAATCCAGGAAATCTCCCAATATTGCTGCACAATACAGTCGTGCCTTGCTTAACAATTACCCCGTATAACGACGAATCCGCTTAACGTTGAAGGTTTTGCAATCGCAAAAGTGACTGCAAAACGGTGTTTTAACAGGGGTTTTTCGCTTAGTGAAGATCGGTTCCCTGCTTCAGGAACTGATTGTTCGCTTTGCGATGATCAATACAGCTGATCGTGGAGTTTTCAAAATGGCTGCCGGCTGCTCAAAATGGCTCCCCGCTGTTTTTAGGAGCCATTTTTTGCTATACAGGCACCCAAAAATGGCCGTCCCTATGGAGGATCTTTGCTGGATGGTGAGTTTTCAGCCCATTGGAATGCATTGAGGCGTTTTCAATGTGTTTCTATGGGCTTTTTTATTTCACTTTACGATGTTTTCGCTCTACAGTGATTTCGCTCGAATGAATTAATGTCATTAATCGAGGAACCACTGTATTGTGCCCATGTTGTCAGTAGAAAAAAGGATGACAATTTTTACATAGCAAAGAGCAGAATGAATGTTGACAACACCAATGGCAGCAGTCAAGAAGGTATACAGGATACCTTCTTGAGTTCACTACAATTCACAAAGTGACACCACAAAAAAGAAAATCCCAGAAGCTAACTCTTTTTTTCATCAGTTCACCACTTCTTACTCAAACACAAATCAAGTGTCAGGGCTATTTTTCAACAAGTATGAATGGTAGTGAGCAGAACAGTGTATCTTGTAGACCGTCTCGACTGCTGCCATTGGTGTTGTAAACATTCAGTACTTGGGATCAGTGAACTAAAGTGGACGAGAACAGGATATTTTCAGTAAGTGTTCTAATCTGGAAATGACAAACTCATAAGAAGTGGAATGGCTCTAATACTGAGGTAAGATACAACAGGGTATCTTGTAGACCGTCTCGACTGCTACCATTGTTGTTGTAAACATTCAGTGCTTGGGATCAATGAACTAAAGTGGACTAGAACAGGATATTTTCAGTAAGTGTTCTACTCTGGAAATGACAAACTCGTAAGAAGTGGAATGGCTCTAATACTGAGGCAAGATACAGCACATGCAGTTAGGGGCTACAATGTAAAGTCTGCCTGAATAATACTAATAAGACTCTGTGGAAAACCTATCAACATAATCTATGTTCCGAATACTGATACAACACATGCAGTTAGGGGCTACAATGTAAAGTCTGCCTGAATAATACTAATAAGACTCTGTGGAAAACCTATCAACATAACCTATGCTCTGATTACCAATGTTAAAGAAGGTCAAATTGAAAGCTTTTATGTGAACATCCAAGAGGAAATTGATGACATACAAAAAGAAGACATAATCATAAGTGTTGTAATCATAAGTGACTGGACCTCCAAAGAGGTAATAAAGCAGAATCAAATGTTATTGGAAAATTTGGTCTAGGGCAGTGGTCCCCCAAACTTTTTAGCCCCATGAAGCAGATGGGGAAGGTGGGGCACCCTCTGCATTCATGTGCATGGGCGCATGGACAAAGGAGCAGGGTGCTCATGCAGGTGCGCTTGCGCTCATGTGCATGTGTGAAGGGCTGGGCAGCGCTCGTTTGGGCACGTGTGCACTCGTGTGCATGTGCAAAGGGGTGGAGGAGCGCTCATGTGGGTGGAGGCACAAACTGCCTATACGGAGGGGAGTGCATGTGGGGGTGGGGGGAGGTCTGTCTTTGCAGGCTGCGACCCGGGGGTTGGGGGCCTCTGGTCTAGGGGACCAAAATGAAGCAGAATAACTCACAGAGTTCTGCAAAGCCAACAATCTACTTATTGCAAATTCATGCTTCAAACAGATGACTATACACACAGACATCACCAGTTGGTCAATATAGGAATCAAATAGACACTGTAAATGGAAGCAGGAGATGAAGAAGGTGTATTCTGTCTGCCAAAACAAGACCAAGAACGGATTATGCTACTGACCATGAACTGCAGTATAAAGGCTTTTTGAGGGAAGCAGCTCCTGGAAAAATGGAGAAGCCCCCCTTTTGTGGGGAGGGGGCAGGGAAGGCTTCCTTTTGAACAGGAGGACAGGAAACCTAGTCCTTTGGCAAGACTGGGTCAGGGTTCCTTCTCTGCACCATGCATGGACACCAGAGAAACTGCAAGTATTCTGGAAGTTGAGTCATGGCAACTGAACTTCTTTATTATTAGGTTGAATTGTTTCTCTACTCATTCAAGTAGCTTCTGCAATCTGAGGAAAGTTGGCAGAAGATCCCTGATATATCCTCCACGTTGGTTTCACTTCCCACTGGTCTGAATAGGCTTGTAAGAAGGACAAAGGACTGGGGCCGAGGGATAGTCTCACTTCTGCAGTCCTTCTACACCCATTGTCATGGGTTGTTCATGGTCATTAACTGTGGTCTTTCTAGTGCGAATGGTCCTGATCATTTTGGGGACAGATGAAACAAAAGTGAAACCAACGTGGAGGATATATCAGCGGTCTCCAAAGAATCTTCAAAATTTATTGCAAGTAAGTGTTGCAAGATACTTCAGGTGAGGACGGGGAAAGGGAGGGGAGAAGGATTAGAGGATTCTGTGCTGCCCCTGCATTGGTTTCCCAGTGCTCCACAGAGTCATGGAGCACAGTTTGGGAACTACTGACCAACAGGAAAGCACACTATCTGGCCAATAATAAAGAAAGAGAAAGTGGGAACAGTGTAAGGTAAAGGTAAAGGTTCCCCTTGACAATTTGTCCAGTCGTGTCTGACTCTAGGGGACGGTGCTCATTTCCGTTTCCAGGCCATAGAGCCAGCGCTTGTCCGAAGACAATCTTCCGTGGTCACATGGCCAGCACGACTGGACACAGAACACCATTACCTTCCCACCAAGGTGGTACTTATTTATCTACTCGCATTTTTCATGCTTTCAAACCACTAGGTTGGCGGGAGCTGGGACAAGCGACGGGGGCTCACTCTGTCACGTGGATTCGATCTTACGACTGCAGGTCTTCTGACCTTGCAGCACAGAGGCTTCAGCAGTTTAACCCACAGCGCCACCACGTCCCTGGGTACACTGGAACAGTGTACTGAAGACCTATACAGAAGAGATAATGGATTCTTCTTCCTTTGAAGAAGAATCCTATGATAAAGAATTAGAAAATGAATTGAAAGCTGCTCTGAAAGCACTATCATCCTCATCATCTGCCAAGGCCTAAAGGTGACTTTATGGCATGTAACAACAAAAAATATTTCATATGCCAATACATGCCTATCTTTTTAAAAATCCATTTGTGTGTTTAATGATTGCTTGTAAGAGGATACTTAAGACATGAACTCTTCCTTCTCCTTCCTTCCCCTCACCTCAAGCACCATTGAAATAAAGGAGAGTTGTGGCCCATAATTTACTAATCTGACATCTTTTGTTTTATGCCTTTAAGTTGTACCATGCCATATAAGTTGTGCAGGCTTTACTGCTTTATTTAATCTTTTAAATATAGAAGTGTATCTAGATCTATTTGGAGGATGACTTTTAAAATTTATCTTCTAGAGCCTAACTTCTGTGTGACTCCAAAACATATTCTCCTCCCGTATCCTGAAGTGGAAATTTGCAAATTTCTCACCTGGAAGTATGTAAATTGTGAGTGGTAGAGGTCTGGATAAATATGAAGAGTAGTTCCAACAACAAGCAGCAATTCAAATTTGTGAAGAGATGAACTGATGTATCCTGTAAACCCCAGGCACCAGATTTTTAGGAGAGCTTCCAGATCAAACAGGACAGTAAATGCCACCTGAAGGGAAATATAAGAAAAATAGGTCCTGGAGTAAGATCTAAAACTGCTTCACACAATTACTTCGCTTCTGTATTTATTATGTACAGTATATGACATGAACTCGTCTGAATGCTGCTATGAAAACTGGTCTAATTCAAGCCCTAGGACTACAAAATGGAAGGAGAGAATGTTATGTCCTTTGTTTATGAGTAGGTGTCCTTTGGTCTGCCAGCAAGGACCCATTTCCTAGCCAGAGAATGAGGACCTGTATGTAATTTTCTCACTTAATTCCTGCCAGAAAGAAGACTCATCTCCAACCACCAGCTGTCCTGGGACTTCAGAGGAGAAAAGGGACACTTTACAAGGGCTTTATATGGACACTGTGCATTTTGGGTAGGAAAAAGTTACTATACTACTTGAATTATGGGCCACCTATGTGCCCCTATCACCAGCCTGAGGAACGAGGGTTGCTCAGACAAGTGCAACAATTCTGTACAGAAGTACAGTCTAGACCTATTGTTTACAGCACAATACTGTGCTCTGTCCAGAGTCTGAAAACAACACAATAATTTTAACCCACTAATATATTATGTGTTAACATTTTGGTCAAATAGGACAAAGTATTACTGAGAAATATAGGCCACAATCCTGGGGATGTTCATGTGAGATTTAAGTACACTGCCACAGCTAAATTGTGATTAATAGATGAGATAACAGGGAATGTCTTTGTCACATACCAGGTCACAGAGGAGTGGTTGCATAATCTCATCAATTAGCCTTAATTAGCCACAGAAAGCAAAGCAAATCTTACACAAACACAAATAGTATTCTGACCACCATGTTTTAAAAGCAACATTAACATTTTTTAAAAAAGGAATTATTGTTTTATATTGTCATGCCTTCTCAGGAGGACATATATGTATCCATCCTCCTTCACCTGAAAGGGGAAGTACCTGTAACAAAAGACTGCATCTATAAACAGTGTCTTCCATATTGTGACTGCTGGTTATTTGGGACAAGAACCCGCAGAAGACACAGACAACACAATCAATGGCTGACATTCTTGGAGGTATAGTAAAACAAAGATTGAAATCCAGTAGTAACTACAGTAGGTTTATCGAATCAGTGGGGATTTGGTGAAGCAACTCCTATGTAAGTTCCATTGGTTCAATGAGCCTAGTCCAGTTGTGATTTTCAGCTAATATCTGACCAAATGCAAGGACAACTACTCTGTAGAACTAATAAATCTATGACTGCTTTTATAGATGTTTGTTTAGCACAACAGTAGAGAAGCTACTGTATGCAATGGCCAAGATTTTGTTACTCAGCACAGTAAATTCAACTAGAGCAGGCCCACTAAATAAATGGAGACTTTAATGAATCAATTCCTCTGTATGTTCCATTGATACAAAGAGGCTTGTCTTGCCTGTGACATATTATGATAAAGTAAATTGCAGTTAGTGTAGTCACATTTGAATCAATAAAACTTATAGAGGAGATGGCTCACTAAATTTCAATTGATTCAATGGGCTTACTCTAGGGCAATTTACTATACTGAGCAACAGCATGTTGGCCTATGAATGACTACTGAGAAAAAACTATTTCTTTCCTGCTGTACAGCTATTTTGAGTCCTGACAAACAAAGTCCTGTCAGACATAGTATCTCAATAGGACAGTAGCAGGACTTAAAACTATTGGAGTCTGCCACAGACAATGTAGTTTGAAAAATGCTCTTAGAAATCAGGTTTTGAAGCAAAACCATCCTTTTAAGGCTGGTTCACTTTTGAAGGTAAAAGATTAAGCTTGGATAATTTGCCTGACTTGTCCTGTAAAGACAATTGTCATTTTAGAACAGCACTAAATATGGTTTCTGCAGCAAAATTATTGCCTGCAACAAAATAAATGAATGTTTATTGTATTTAAACCCTCTATGAAGTCAAAATAAAGATTATTGAATTTGCAATGCATGAAATACACAGAGAAACAATACTAGGTTAAGGAGTAATGCTGACAGGAGATACCAAGAGAGCTTTCCTTAGGAGAGGGCCATAGAAATCATACTATATTAATCTTCCACCATTCAAAGACTCTTTTTGTCAAAAGGCTGCTTTGGTTTCAAACCCAAATTTCTAAAAACATTTGCAAATATTGATTATGCTTTCAACAAATGTTTTCCCCCATTGTATAGCAAGAAATATTAATGTGACGGAAAGTTGGTCTGAACCTGAGTCTCTTTTGCACTACAGATAGCTTGCTACTGGTTACTCATGTATGTATATGAGAAACACTGAAGTACAACTCATATGCCAATTGTGTGTCTGCTCAATACACGGAATGCTCACACTTTACACAGGGCAACCAGCTGGAGTGACATCCTTGTTTTCTCTTCCACACATATATATAACCCACAGAAATCTTGCCTATATAGCTTAATGACGGAATATTTCAGGGAAAGCAGAAAAGAAATAAATACATTATTATTCATTCACAAACTTCCAAGTGTACTATATTAGATCACATATTCTTGGGCAAACTGAAACCCTGCAGCTTTTTTATAAGCTAGGAAAATAATCAGTATAGCCGAGGTGAACAAAATCTGGCCCTCCAAAATTTTGGGAAAGCAATTCTCATAAACTCTAGCTCACATAGCTACACAGGGAGAGATGATGGAGTTGCTGTGTACACAGTCTGGAAACTCAGATTTTTCCCATGCTTGCACTACATTTTATTACAGTGTGTACACAGAGGTTTCAATATTACTTTTTAGAAGTAATTGTTCATGTTACTTGTTGCTCTTTACTCCAATGTAACATGTCATGTTACTACTCAATAGTAGGTGTCACGTTCCCAGGGGTTACAACAGCAGAGTCCGATAAGCCAGTCCTATGTCAGCAATTCAGGGAATGCAGAGCCAATATCCAAATATCAAAGCAAACTCACACAAGGTAGTCCAGGGTCAGAGTCCAAAGCCAAAATGCACAACGTAGTCCAGGGTCAGAGTCCAAAGCCAAAATGCACAACGTAGTCCAGGGTCAGAGTCCAAAGTCAAGGGTCCGGAGAACAAGGTTCAAGGTTGTCAGGAGCATGGACGCAAGCCAGAGGTTTGACTTGTTGCTTCCACAGATTTTCAGCCGTCTGAGAGCTGTTTATATAGTAAAACAGCCCCTTGAACTGCTGGAAGCCTTTTCATCCTGTCAGAACTCAGGGCTAGTTGATCGGATGTTTCTGCGGGCAGCCTTCAAGCGATCCTCTGACCTTTTTGTCATAAGTCTTCCCCAAAGCCTGGCCTTCAGCCTGTCTACTGGAGGAGGAGAATCTGGAGGCGATTCAGGTGTTTGTATTTCTAATTGCTCAGCATTTTCCTCAGCTACAGTTAATCCTTCGGGTTCCAGATCTTCAGCTGCACTCATGACAGTAGGTTACATTGCTTTTAAATAGTGATGACATCACTTCTACCCTACGTTTACAACTAATATTGCTACTTATCATTCCTTGTATATATGTACATACTGTAAAAGCCATTTCCTAGCATTCAATCCCACTTATGCACAACCAAGAAAGACATTATAGAACAGAGCTGTGCAAACAGGGATTACGCTTGATTCTTGATGTTTGGAGTATACAGATAACAAGGCATAGCTTTAAGCTTCCCAATAGCTCCTAATTAATCCACTTGTTTTCTTCTCTGTGTTTACTGATTTCTACTCCCTCCTTTTAAAAAGTTAGTTACACAGTTTGAAGCACTACAGAGTGGAGGCAGAACCTTTTTTCCACTCAGCACCAGAATCTCCGTGCATACATTCTTTCCAGTCATCATAATCATTATCATCATCTTGTACCTTGTCCTTCCTAAAAACCATTCAGGGCAGCAACAAACTTTTGGCAGACAACGACATAAATTAATGTGAACTGTTTTATTCTCTGAAAAGGAGATTATGTCATATGTGTAACAGATATCTAGATTATGCATCTAAGCTGTGAGACTTCCAAAATGTCTATTTTGCATTACTACTGGTTGCAGTGATACTAATGTTATATAAGTGGTACTGACACAGGTCACAGTTCAGGGCTAACAAACATTATTTTGAATATTTTCCTGCACAAGTGTGATTGCCAAAACGGACATTGACTCTGTGATGAAATCTTTAAGGATTTTTCCTTTTCAGTTTTGTAAAAGAATGGATAGATCTCCAGTCCACACACCATCACTACCTGTGCTGCATCGCTGTTATGAAAAATGTTGGGGATCTGGCCTGTTGATTGGACCCTTCTCCTTCAGCTCATTATTGCTGACGTTTTGGTTGATTAAATAGTCTTTTAGAAAAGTGTATGAAGCTTGCCAGCTGTCAGCAGAAAAATCTGAACAGATCAATAAAGAATTCTTACAGTGAATGTATGAATAATGATAACGATAACAACAACAAATGATAGATTTTTATAACTGTTTGGCTTTGCCTGGCTCCTTTATCATTTTTCCAACTGAAAATATCTTTGGCAATTTTAGGGCACTCACCTCTGCAAGGTAAAACTCATCATATTGGCTCTTAAAAGTCTCTCCCTTGTAATAATTGCTAGCAGCAACAATGACATCAACAGCCACCATGCTCAAGATAAACATGTGGAAAATTGAGGACCTCATCATTCTCTGCAGAAGAAAAAAAGAGACATATATAAAGAGTCTTCATTGGAAATAGTGATTTTTAATTATGTTAAAAAATAATACCACAATCATTCTGATAGCTCTTTCAGCCAGAATCACAGCACCTAGGAACTATGTTCTGTTTTGCTTTATAATGAAGGAGGAGTGACATTACAGCTCAGTAAACACTTTGGACACACTCAGATTTGGCTGTCTGCATCTCCAGTTAAAAGAACTACATAGCAGACAGATGGTTAGTAATGCCAAGTTTTGCCTGCGTGTTTAAGAGAGTTAAAATAATTATGAGGGATACAGGGGGAAAAGTGCTTTGAAAATTAATCTACTTTTAGAACAATGACTTGATCTATGCTGTTTTCAAAACAATCCGCCATTTTTCAAAAAATTAGCCAGCTCTGGTAGAGCAAGGTCAACAAATTATAAACCATCTTGGCAGCTGAATGAATATTTTTGTTAGAATTTGTAAACATAGAGATAAGATTATCATAAATAACAGGTGAATGAATGGAAAAGAAAATTTGTATAACCTTATAGTGCCATCTTTTCGAAAATATAAATTCATGAAACATAAATATTAAGATTCTACATATTTCTGGGCCAACAGTGATGACAGGTAGAAAATTCAAAGCTGGAAAAAGATAGCCGTAACAAAAATGTCAGTAAACATTTAATTCCTAGACCAGTAATTATGATGTATGCAGAATATATGAGAGATTACATTACAGTAGTGTATCAAGCACTTTCCTAATATTGGAAGACCTGGGCGAGCAGATAAGAAATTGTTTATGGTAAAAAAGAAAAGAAAACAATTGTTAAGAATCACATGTGTTTCTAGGACACAAAAGAAACATGACATTCAATATATCATAACCCCATGCCACTATGGACAACAGACATTAAAGAACAACAGTTAACATGGACTTTAATTGGTATGACTGGATGTGCAATGTAGAAAATGTATTATTTTTCTCTGTGTGTTCTTAACATGCCTAGAAGCTAAGAAAGTTATTTTCTTTAATGTATTTTTACTCTTAAGAACTTTGATGTTTTGAGGAAATGCTTTCCACTTTGTATCTTCTTACTTTAACAATTTTGATATTTTTCCATGCTTTTCTAATAAGGCTTTTAAAGCTGTAATGCTTTTACTTTTCACTGATGCACTCTACAGATGTATTATCTGCCTTTATAGACCATTAAGCTCTGGCATTTTTAGAATGTAATTGAAACATTCTCATTGTTCTTTTTTATCCTTAAAAGATATTTTGCTCTTGCATTTTATATTCAAACATGAGTTAAGATCCGCCTATAACTTAAATTTTAACACTTGCATTCTTTTATAAATTGCAAGGATGTATTTTTTTAGTATCTGCGCCTACAGTTTTCTTCACAGCTCCAATATTTTGGTATTTTACTATAACTCTTGAAATAATTTTGGTCATATGGAACACAGAAGCAATGTAGATAAATAAAGCTAGTAAAATTAGACAAGCTGAAGTTGCCTGAAATTATTGCAACATTGAAAAGACTTATACATACTTTGATGTTCAGATGAATTTTGATATGATTGTGTGTGACTGATTTCATTTTGGTATTGACCCTTTACTGGGATAAATGTCAACTGTGATGAACCCAGGCTTCTTATTTTTCCCACTGCCCTGGGAGATCTATGAAACTTTGCAGGACTCCTGGGAGGGTTCAGACATTAGCTGGGCCAAACTTAAAGTAGGAGTACTTAAGATCACATCACATTGATATAACCAACCTGTTTTGAGAATTTGAAAAGCCACTGCAAAATATAGTTGCCATACTGGGTTAGACGGTCAAATAGTCAGACCAGGTATAGGCAGCTTTTCATGTCTATGATAAAAAACATAAAACCAGGCAACATCTTTAGCACGTTTTTAGAAGGGATTATCCTTCGAGTGATGAAAAATGTCCATTTGTCATAAACATCTGTTTGTCCTCATATCTGTATAGGGGATTTATATGCGCTTTACTCAGTGACAGATCACTGGAAGATACATGTAGGCTTCCTTATCTATTAGGAAATCCTGTTCGGAGAGGGAAATCAGATTATTTATAGGACAGGGGTTGGCAAAATATAGTCACAGACCTTTTTGACTCTTAGCTGCTCCTTTCTGCAGTGACATTTTCTATATGCACAAAACTTTGGCACATTTATTTTTATTTCTGTCTGAGGCTTGTGCACTGTAATATAAATATTTTTAGGTTTTCATTCATACAGAATCTATACCCATGAGATGAGAGAAACTAACAAAGAAAATAAACTAATTAATAAGATAGAATACAGATTCAATCCTGATGTCTCCCTAGTAACTTCTTTTTCTAGTCCTTGAAAGAGCTTCTTAAACAATAAAGTTACTCCCTAATGTTAACTACCAGAAATCTGTACAATGAAACAATTCTGTATTATACCAAAGTTAAACCAAATGTTAGCCGTACTAAGGGAAATACAAGAAACTTCTTAACTCTCATAGAGTGTACACAGAAGTAAGACTACAATCAAAGAGAAACTTATTTTAAATTAATTGTCAGTGCATTCAGTGATTGAACTTATTCCCATCTAAAGATTAAAATTGTAAGTGTCTTGATATTATGGTTAAGTAATTTAGTGATGTGAAACATAGGATGACTTTGTTCCTTCCCTTGAAACACTGGTCATAGCTTTAAATATGCAATGTCTCTAAAAGCAAACATTAACTTGTAATAAGCTGCTTGTGATTATCTGAATACTTTGAAGAAATAAAATCACAAAAAAGATGTTGTACCAACATTTTTAAAAAAAAAATTAAGCTGAACTGTAGCTAGAACAATTCATGACCATTTTATTGTCATTTGTTTACTACGGATGCAGAAGTACAAACTTTTATAATGGTTTTGTCTGTTAAGCACAGCTCAGAAGGGGATGAAAACATTGGAGCTATACAACGTCCCTGAGTTCTTCCTCTGTGAAGAAAATGAGAACTGGCTCAAGGAATAATAAGGCTTGAATCAGCTAAAACTGAAGAGGAAAAGAGATTCTTTCTGGCCCAGTAGTAACAACACTGGAAGCAAAAGGGAATTCTGAATACAATGGACCATTCATCTTCTTACTAAAATTAATGAGAACCACCGAGGACTGGTGTTTTCAACACAGGGAGTAGTGTTAGTTCATCTAACTCAGGGGTGGGCCAGTCCCAAGTCTGGGAACCCTTTTTGTTCCCCCCTGAATCCTGAAGGATGCTATATCATTTCTGATTGCCTAACCCCATGAAAATGACACACTCCCTCATTTTTTTGAACCGACAATACAAATATCATTCCTTGAAAAATCCTCCTGAGACACCCTAAGAGTAATAGAAAACCGAATACTGAATTTCACCTTTGAATATTAAAAGTCCCTCTGTACTTTATGGAAGTTTCATTACATGTCCCTTGCCAATACAACTGCATTGAAGAGATTTCCCCTTGCCCAAGTTTTATTGAGAGCAGAGCTTGCTGAAAGCATCTTGCTGCCTGAGGCAAATGACAAGATGATCCCCAGTGAAGCCCAACTATAATAACAACTGCATTTTTCTTCTACACAGGCAACAGGACGTCTTCTGCTGTACCTGAAGGCAGCAAGGTAGCTAAAGAGATTCATGGTAGGTCTGCTAGCTGCTCTCTCCTCCAACAGTTTGCTCCTGCTTCATTCATAGCACCTGCCATCTTAGGCAACCACCTCAGCCTAAAAAGTTGGGGCAATGCTCCTGACTGAAAAAGATAGTAGTAGAAAGTGTATCCTGATGTGCAAACCAAGAGCACACAAATTAAATAGCATATTGCAAAATATAAACAAATTACAATTAATAATAGAACTGAAGGACAGAAAGGAGTATGAAACGGATTCACTGGCTGTTTACACTCTTACTGCCCTGTTGTGATCACTGCTGAGTAGTTAGTATATATCAAAGCACAGTTCACACAGAACAGGACTGATCACTGGTTGTTTCCATCGTGGACTGATGGAGGTAGCAGAATGACAGGTAGCACTTCTTGTTCTGGAAAGTCAATATTCTAAGGGGATGTTCTATCAAAGCACAGTTCACACAGAACAGGACGGATCACTGGTTGTTTCCATCCTGGACTGATGGAGGTGGCAGAATGACAGGTAGCACTTCTTCTTCTGGAAAGAAAAGATTGTTGTCTTTTCTTCATCTCTTGTTGTATCTGCAACATCAACTACTCTTGAATGTTTCTTACCAATATGTCCAAAAATTAATGTCACTCCCCACTGCAAGACTTTAACCAAGAGGTGGGCAGTAACCAGGGCAAAACCTCCACATGCAAAATTTAGAGAATGCAGTCATAGTGATTGTCCTAACTTCTGCTAACCCTCCTTGGAAGCAATGAAGTAAAGGTAGGCAGCCATGCAGCCACAGCAGAAAGCAAAGCACCATGTGATGTTCCTCTCCAGCCATGCTGAATTCCAGAAAAAAGAGAGACAGAAAACAAACCTCCAGCAACAGACACCACTACAAGGGCGGGGGGGAGAGAATGCAGCGCTGTAATTCCTGCTGTAGATGGGGGAGCTCGGGTGGCATCCCTGCCTGGTTTTAGGTTTTAAAAATGCTTCCAAGGATGAACAACAGACAGGGCAATTAAATTACCACATGCTAAAGGGTTGTTTTTATTTTGTTTTTTGCCCTAGGTGCAAAAGAGACAGGTTACTTACCTGTAACCATGGTTCTTCAAGTGGACCTCTGTGAATTTACACAAAAGGGTTAAATCTGCGCCTGCACTGGACCTCTCGGAATTTTCTAGAGCTAAAGAGAAAAGTAACAAACTCTAAGTTGCCCCTAATAGCGCATGCTCCATCCGCCTCAGCCTCCAGTTCCATTTATCCACTACAATAGCCTGAGCTTATGCTATATATGTTCAGTGATGGATAGTGGGGAGGTAGGGCGGGATTGTGTGAATTCACAGAGGTCCACTTGAAGAACCATGGT